GTTACGGACAATAGTGACAAGTTTGAGGCCTCGTCAAGGAATTAATGTGCATTTTGAGCACCCAGCACACCAAGCAGTTCCTCCGAAAGCAACAGGGACAGAAATGATTCACGTTCGTCTCGGTCCAGCTCCACTAGCCCACTGGTTTTTTATAAAATCAGAATTACCCAATTCAGTTTCTGTATGCCAAAAGCAGAAATAAAACCAATATTGCCCCATCTTTGCAAGCCAGAATGGAGAACCTGAGAGGTGGAGAATCTGATGGGAAAGCGAAGTGAAGCTGGGCTACAGACGCTTACCCTACCCAAACGTCTATCGATACGTGTCCAGAAATAGGTTAAAAAGCTTGGAAACACAATTTTTTGAATGACCGCATCCTTTTCACAAGGCATCCCCAGTACATTTTACCTCTTATTATTTGTATCTCCGATATATTTTACCATCTGAAGTCCTTATCCAAAGGGAATAACCTAGGGCTCACCCGCCTCCCCACACGGGATCTGTTATTGGGAGCGGCCAGGTCTAAACCCCCTCCATTAATGAGTCGGTTCAAGTATTTTCCAAAGCTGGCAAATGGACATATTACCCCAAAGCCCAGCACAAACCTGGCTTTGCCAAACACAGAACAGGAATTGGCCTCTCAACGATTCAGATGAAAATGGTTGATGTGACCGGGCAGCTGAAGTAACTGATGAAACGGGAGCCTTCCATTTTGGGTTGCAAATGACAAAATGGTGCTAATCAAAGGTTAACAAGAACGCTAGCGTCAATTTGGAGAGGCTCCCTGCATGTAATTAAGAGTAGTACTAATAGCAATTTATTCGTGGAGCAGGCAGAAGTGACCGACTTACAAATGACATCTTTTTCAAGCTAACGCACCCAGGTTTCACTGGTTTGACACGCCGAAAGCATTATCGAATCATCTTCTGAAAATAACGCTATTACGCAGCGCACAAATAACCATGTAATCTATGTAATACCCAGTAACGATCATGGATTTAGTCAACCTATGGGCTGCAGAGAATCTGGTAATTAAGCAGAGTTGCAGTGCCACTCCAAGCACTGGTACTACCCGAGGTTGCCTTTATTAGATAAAATGGAACAATTTTGTTTACAAAGGGGGAAAAAAAACTAATTAGGCTTTAATTACATGGTAGTTACCATAGATTTATAAACTAATGAGGTGGTGGTTTGGGCCCCAATACGATTTATTTCCAGGCTGCGTCCACCAAAAACACGCAGACTGAGTGGCAGGTCAGGAGATAACGGAGAAGAGAAGCGTGGGACAAGAAATGGGTATTTTTTAAGAGAAAGCTCAAGTGCGTTCCAGCTGAGAAGTCTTCAGAAATCCTGAGGTTCTGCTTGAAGAATTGATGTGGTTTGGGGTCTCTGGGGGAAAAAAGAAGGTATTATGTTAGGAAACTTCTCTTCCATATGGCATGAAGAAGCCTGCAGTCTCTGACGCACCACGGTTGGTGGTCATCGCTGGTGGGTACGGCCCTTCCACGCCAAGTTGGGCAAGCGTGGCTTCTCCCAGGGAGCAAACACTCGTCTTTCATGGTATTTGTTCAATCCCAGGGAAAAAAAAAACCTACATGGTGATACCTGGGAAATGCTTCTCAAGTCCAGCCAGGGCTGGCGGTAGCCATCTCGCCAACCTCCTGGCACCGGTTTTCCTTTCCCTCCGCAGACTGAAGTTATCTTTAACGTAACGCTGCCTGGGTCCGACTACAAAGTTGACCCCTCTCTTCATTTAACACCCGGAACTGAGATGGTTTTGCTGACTGCCTCTCAACATTCATGCCTAAGCACCACATCCTCGGCTGCAGGTCTTCGCAGCTGAAACTCAGTTGCCCGACACTGGGTCCATGTATGATGCTCAGCCGATACACTGGTACTCACTGGTGTTCACTGGTATTCACCTCCCCAGGCACTGCAGGGAGACTCTGCCCAGCCTTGCACCTTGTAATTTCTTCACCATGTCATGGAAAAACATCAACTGGTATCCAAGGAGGAGACTGCACTACTCAAATGGTTCCCTCTGGGGAAAGCTCCATCGTATCCTGCTTTACCTCACCTCCTCAGCGACATCGGCCCATCACAGCAAAAAGTTTCTTCGGCATTTTTCTCCGTCCTCAGCCGTTTCCGTTCTCCGATTTTTAGGACAGTTTCATGCTTTTTCCATACTCCCCATCTTCCTCCAGACCTTTCATCTTTGTTTTAAGGCGTGCGGAGATTCAGCAGAGATGAAACCCTTTCCAACAAATTAGGGGTGGTTGAAGATGCCTTACATCTCTCCTCCTGCCCTGTCCTTTATCCCGCCGTTGCAAGGCTTCTGAAAGGTCTTTATGGCCGGGATGGGGGAAAGGTATTGGTAAAACATCACTGGACTGTTCATTTAATTGAATTTTTGGGTCCTTTCACAAGGACCCATCCTCTGGGTGCTTCTATTTCCAGTATGAAAAGGCCTTTGACGAAGTCTGCAAAAGTGCTAACAATAGCTGCTTTTATGCAGCTCTGTTTCCCGAACCCAATTCATTATCTGCAGGTGATCCATCGCTGAGAAATCTCTCCCCATTCCTGTCGGCTCTGCTGGGTGATTAGCCCAGAAGTCCCCATCTTCTCTTCATTTATGCCTTTACGATTCTTATATATAACGCACAAAGGGCGGGTGGCAAGGTTCTCTAGGGCGGCAAACCTTCAGGCTTTCCCAGATAACTAATCGGGAAGGTAAGAAAGAGGTGGCTGACCAGAAAAGTAGGATGCGATCACCTGGAGTTAATTTATTGGGACGAAATATTTGATAAGTTTGAATTATAAAGTCACTTGTTAAAGGACTAATGTGGTACCCAAGGAATGGCAGGGTGAGATTTAGCCCACTATCTGACCACCGCACACTGGCCCGGGAAACAATGACGGTGCCACAACCCCAAAACAAGCAATAAAATTAGGTAATGGTCCCACCACTGGGGATAAGTGATGAATCCATTCCGTGCAGGAAAAGGGTGTCAGAGATGAAGAGCAGAGGGTGGGTTTGAAGGTACAGGCTGGGAATGAGGTTGAGCCCAGAAGGCTCCCAACACCCAGTGTGAAGACAGCAGGAAGGACAATTTCATATGCAAACCCGTTATATGAATCTACGAGGAGAAGAAAGCCCACTGTCCAAAGAGTGGTAAACGTCACGATAGTCATTGGGGAGGAGAAGATGATTGAATTACACCATTTCTATTGAATTTTAAGTTCAACCAGAACTAAACATCCAACAACAGACAGTTGTTGGTGGGGTAAGTACAAGAACAGTAATAAAGTCAGCAATTCAAAGCGATAACATCCCTGTATCACTAAAGGATGGGGACACTGGCAGCATCGCTCCTCAACGCTGCCTAAATCCCGTGCTGAATCTCCAGGCGAGACCCCATGAGGAGCCAAAGGACTAAAACGCAGGTCAGGATACATCCGTGCTGCTGGTATTTCAAACAAACACGTCTAAGAACAATAAATGTCTCCTAATGATTTTTCTGGAAAATAGATATATAAATAAATAAACCTGATCCCATGGACTGTCGCTGCTCTTCGTTGTGCCAGGGGACACCAGAAATTCTCCAAAACAGCAGGATGCAAATGGGACAGCTTTCTGCAGTGAAGCAAGCGATGGGAATAGGGTGGGTCTCACCAGGACTCATCTCTTCCCTCATTGCTTATTCCCCACCTGTGCTGTCCTTTGGTTATAAATCTTGTCATCTGAGCTGCCTCTTCTCCTTCAAAACAGAGGGATCCTGGACCAAATCCCCTCCTCTTCACGTGTTTTGGACTTAAGTTTCTATCCTCCTCATTAGCTAATAGCAAGCAGATGATCGTCATCACCATAATACAGCTTCAGACTAACAAGAAGTACTTTGAACAATATTTTGGTAAAACTGGAAGACGATGACATGAGGGAAGGAAGGAATTTTTTATTTTTTTTTTTAAACTAGAGACCTAAATTGCCATTCAATACAACTTCAAAGCTTGCTAACCTCAAGGCGAAGGAATTGGTTAAAAAGGTTTCACCAGCAAACTCACACAAAGCAGAAGAACGTTCACCAGGAAAAGACCACCAGGACCGCCCCAGCATAATTCACAGTTATTTCATTTCCTATGGGCTGGTCCCAGCCGGCATAACCCCACTACCTAAGTTCAGGTCTGGGGTTCACCCCTCTGAAATGATCAATTCTCTCTAAAATGCAACACAAGCAAGGCTCAGATCCGTCCTTTAACGGCTCTCCTTTGAGTTTTTCAGTACAGTGCCAAGGTTAGCTCCCCTCACTCACTTCTAATGACAAATTGAACAGACCCATCACCATCCATGACACCACTGACTAGCTGCAGCGCGATATTTTCATCGCGGTGCTATCCCACCGGAAAGCAAATGGACAGCAGTCCTATTTCTATCCTCACCACAAAGCGTGGGAAGCTAACCATGTCCAGCAGCTGCCGGCTTCCCAGTCCCGTTGTTTTCAGCGCCGAAAGGTAAAACTAGCTGAGCAGTGCTTTGGGTCCACTTATTTTGGAGCAGCAGACTAAATGAGAGTAAAGCGAGTACAATGACCATAAAAATGCCAGCGTGAGAGCAAAACAACAACAAAAAAACCATACGGAAAAGAGGAAGCACGAGTCCGGGGGCTGCTGGTGGTCCAGCCAAACCCCATTTGCAAGCCATCGAGAGAACGGGCTCACCCGCACACCGAGAGAAACACCCGAAACTGCCACACAGCGCCCAGTGATTTCTTAAGCCATCCTTGGTGGCTGGCAGCAAGCTTCCCAACCCATCACTTCTTCGATTTATCCAAATCTCAGCGAAACACACTGACTAAATACAGCTGAGCCCAGAAGGGAGGTTCTTTTTAAACAGCATTGCTAAAGAAACTCGGGATCTGATCTTCTGGCAAAGCCATTCCTTTAAAATCCAGGATATTAGCATCTTTCCTCTGTTTCAGTGGACACGTGGTATTGTTCCAGGGCTACCAGACACCCAGCGTCACGTTAAACCAGTGCCTCCGAATCAAGAGCGGAGACTCCGGCCGCGGCCACCAAAGCGCCGCCTTCTTCCACGCGGCCACTGGTTTATTGAAATTGTTGTAGGGAATAAAACAATAAGCTATTGAAATGCCAAATCAGACTCATGCTGCACTAGTAGGTATTTAAAATTGTCAGGTCTCCAAGATTAAATTAGAATCAGGGACTTTAATAAGAAGCAAGTTAAGGAGTGATTCACAGAAGGGGAAAATGCATTAGATTTGGACTTACTCGACAACAAGGGACTATTACCAAGCAACCATTTTGAAACTCTCTGAAAGTCTGCATCTCTCTGATTGATTTCCTCTCACTCAAAATTCCCTTTTAAAAACAACAAAAAAAACAAAAAAAACAAAATCTAAAAAGCATCATCTCTTGGCTGGTGACAAAGGCAAGCCAGACCGCACGGGGCGTTAATAGATGCGTCTGAGGAGTGGAGAGCTTCGTTCTGGATAGGGGAGCAGCATCTCCACCTGCGCAGGCTACACCCCGCACAGTCGCCCACTCCATCTGAAGGGTGGTTTTAAACTGGGAGCAAACTGGGAGCAGCTCAGCTGATGCCCAGATTTCCAGCTAGACCCCAGTCCGAGCCCTGGTGCAGACCTTCACTCACCAACCGAGACACCGATCCAACTTTAACAAATACTTTGCAGCATAAATCTTAAAATTCCCCGTGATTCCATACGAAGGCACACAGAGTAAAAGGACAAGCAGGTTTTCCATTCCCTACCTCGGTCCCTCCCTAAACACGGGTAGGGAAGATTTGGACTTACTCGACAACAAGGGACTATTACCAAGCAACCATTTTGAAACTCTCTGAAAGTCTGCATCTCTCTGATTGATTTCCTCTCACTCAAAATTCCCTTTTAAAAACAACAAAAAAAACAAAAAAAACAAAATCTAAAAAGCATCATCTCTTGGCTGGTGACAAAGGCAAGCCAGACCGCACGGGGCGTTAATAGATGCGTCTGAGGAGTGGAGAGCTTCGTTCTGGATAGGGGAGCAGCATCTCCACCTGCGCAGGCTACACCCCGCACAGTCGCCCACTCCATCTGAAGGGTGGTTTTAAACTGGGAGCAAACTGGGAGCAGCTCAGCTGATGCCCAGATTTCCAGCTAGACCCCAGTCCGAGCCCTGGTGCAGACCTTCACTCACCAACCGAGACACCGATCCAACTTTAACAAATACTTTGCAGCATAAATCTTAAAATTCCCCGTGATTCCATACGAAGGCACACAGAGTAAAAGGACAAACA